AACTTCTTTTAGCACAAAAAATGTGGAATGTTTTATTAGATTATAGTCAATTGACAATGAAGTCATTTATTGATATTGAATTATTTAAAAAGATTCAATCATCTCCTGAAAGGTTTATAGTTTCGGTTTGTATTATTTAATTCTTGTAATAACAAAACTAAATATTTATAAAGTAGCATTTTCAACGAGTAATTGAGAAAGAAAAAGTCTTTATAGAGACTGGAAAAATAATTATTAATAGACCTGTATTAGCACATAATATGTTTACAACAATACAATTAAAATAAAAAATTATTTTAAATTATTATTTTAAGCATTCCTTATTTTGATGAATTTTTTCAATGATAAATCTCATTATTTTAATATCAGTATGAAATTCTTTTATTCGTGATGAATAATAATCATTTTCAATTTTAAGTTCTTCAATTCTTTTCATAAGATACTTATGTAATTTTTTTGTTGAATATTCTAATGGCTCTAATTCTAATGAAGGTTTTTGTGGAGTTTTTCCTCGTTTAATTAATTCGAATAATTTTATAAATAATTCATTATTTCCAGACTCTTCAAGATGTTCTTTAAATTGAGATAAAAAAGGTTTAATAAAAGAGAGTATTTCACTAGTAAGCAATTGTTGTTGTTTAAAATTAATTCCTGATAATTCTTTTGGTCTATGCGAACTAAAAGAACAAAAATAATTAAAAATTGTTTCTACTGCTGTACGTAAAGGGTCACAAGCTTTAAGAACATATTTACTTAATTGATCTTCTGACTCTTTTCCATTAACTACAATTTGTCCAAAACGAACTATTTGTGGGATTTGTTCTTTTACTTGAATTAAATCACATCTAAGTTCACTTGGAATATATTTTTCTGCATGATTTAATGCAGGAAATAAAAATCTTAAAAAGAAAATTGTTTTAAATGTAGTATACCGTGTCTCAATATCACAATCTTTTCTTTTTATTTCAGCCATTAAATCTCGAATAATTCCTGAAAATTTAAGTGGTATTAAAGAAATATTCTTTATTATAAGTGATGCAAATTTATTTAATACAGCACATACTACATCAAGATTCTCAAATAATAAATTCTCATTAATTTTATCATATAAAGAAGATGGATCAAAATTTAATTCAATTTCTGTAATCATATCTGCCACTAATCTCCCAACTGTTTTCTTAAGAAAGTCTTGTAATTCTTCTTCCATGTAATAACATAACAATCTCGTAAATGAAGAGTTTCCCCTGAAAATGAATGTGGCAGGAGGCGTTGATTCAATCTCCTCCCGACCTAGCCATAACAACATCTCTTTTAAAAACCCTTGTGCATTAGCATATTGTAATAACACTCTACATGTCATTCTTGCTTCACCAAGACTAACTGATTTAATCATAATTTTCATATATGCATAAAGGAGAGGAGTTGGTTTATTATTAATAAAGAATAATTCATTAAAGTCTGACATCAACCCTTTGTACCTAATAATTAATGTTAAAAACCAAAAGATCTTTCTTTATTAAAAAAAGAAAAAATTTATCGGATGAACGTTTTCTAAAAAAAAAGAGTATTATTCTCTAGAAAGATAAAACTCATTATTTTAAGTTTAAAATAGATACTATAACTTGAATTGATTCAATGAGATACTTCAGAATGATTATGTTTACTTTTGGTAAATAAAAGGAAGATAATTATTTAATTTTATTTAATCTTTAATTAAGAAAATAACCATTTTAAAAACATAATATTTCAATTTTAAGTCTTGTTTTTAACGTTTAATTTAAGAATGATTCGTAAAAAAAAAGGAAAATAATCTTTTAAGATATTACTTTTTCAATCCACAATTTTCAAAGTTTTCAAAGACTTATTTTAATCTATCACTCATTTTCATTAAATATTTACTTTAATCTCTCTTATTATATTAATTCAATCAACTAAATGTTTAATTTTTTTAAGTTAGATTTAAATCCTATTATTACTTCTCTTCTTTAATTAAGTTATTCTTTAGAGAATTTAACTCATCTTTTTAAAAATATTCTTTTTATGTTATTTTATTGCTTTTTACTATGTAGTTTTTATAGAATTATTTAAAACTATTGTTCTAACTTATTTTTATTGAGAAGTATGACAAACTCTTTTCAATAAAGTTCTTTTTTTGTATTGTTAGTAAATTAGTACTAATGAGAATTTATTTACTTCAACATGTTTATCTTGTAAATCTTTTTCTGTCATATTGTCATTATTAAAAATAACAAAAGGTAATTTCATTCCAATTACTCAAAAAAAACAAATGAAATTAAGAAAAGATTTATTGATTTTCTGTTAGTTATAAGATGATTTAAAAAATGATTGAAGGAATAAGTAAAATCATTAATTCTTTTTTTTTGTTTATAAAAAAATGGGAAGAAAAACAAAAAATAAAAAAAAGAAAAAATAAAAAATAAAAACTTCAATAGAAAAAGATAAGAAAAATTTTTGATTAAGAAACTATAAAATCAAAATCAAAAGAAATGGATAGTTGTATAGGTATTGTTGGTAAAGATTTTGTATTAATGGCAGTTGATGGAAATAGTGGAAGGGGGGTCATTACAGTTCGGAATGATTTCAATAAAATATATCCTGTTCAAGGAAATCGATTATTAACAATTATTGGAGAAGGTAATGACCGTCAGGTATTAGCTGATTTTGTTCAAAGAAATATTGCTCTTAATTATTATCGAAATGGATTAAAAAGTACTACACAGTCAATTGCTCATTGGATTAGAAGACAAGTGTCTGACTCATTACGTGAAGGTGGGTATCAATGTAGTATGCTTCTTGGAGGTGTTGATGAGAAGCCAGAATTATTTATGATAGACCAATTTGGAACTTTAGTTCCTGAAACATATGCTTCACATGGAATTGGAAGTAATTTTGTGTATGCACTTTTAGATAAAAATTGGCACTCTGGTATGGAATTTGAAGAGGCACTTGAATTAATGAAAAAATGTATTAAAGAAATTCAAAAGAGAGTAATTGTTTCATCTTCTCACTATTGCATTGAGGTTTGTTATAAGGACAAAACTGAATTAATTCAAGGTCCAGAAGTATTTCCACCAGTAAATTAATTGAAGTCAATTTTACTTATCTTTTTTTTTCTTTTAGAGAGAGATTCTTGTCATAATAAAAAATCTTCAAAAGTAAAATATCTTAGTCATTTTATATCTTATTTTATTCTTTTGATTATTTTTTAATTCATTCCTCTTATAAACTATTATACTGTATAAAAATGGAAAATAATTATGCAATCAGTGTAGATAAAATCAGATATAAAGAGTAAAATATAATAAACTTTCAACAATTTTAACATTCTTTTATTTATGAAAGAAATAATGATTTATAATTTATTAATACTTTATTTTAAATAAGAGTATTATTCTTTAATAAGATACTCAATAATATAATTAACTTATATACAAATGAAAGGATGATTGTTTAACATTGAAATTCATAATATTCATTAAAAAAAAAGAAGTTTTTTTTTCAGTTAATACTAATGATAAGTTAAACCAGTAGAAGAAATCTATTGGATTTAAATTGTTCACTAAATTTGATTGTAATATACTCTTTTGCATAATGATATATCTAAAACAAAAAATTAATTATCAATGTCATGC